AAAGTGAGCCGAATTTTGAATTAGCTTCAGCCAAAAGTCTGCTGCTAAATACGGTAACTAGGAAGCGATTTATGAATTAATTCATAGAAAAGAACAGTCGTGCTATAACTCCCAGTTTTTGAATGGAGCTGGAAAGAGTATCCATTTGCTCAACTTCCAACGTTTTCCGAGTTGATGCAAGTGTAAACGAATAGTTTCATCTATCACATCGAATATTGATGCAAGGTCCTGACACGTTTGACAGCCTGCTCGATTGCCAGCTTGATATCCTCATCGTTGGCGGTGGACGGTCTTCCTAATCCTGGTTCATCCTCAAGGTTTTCATTTCCAAAAGTAAATTTTCAAACCACTCCTGGCCAGTTCGCTCTGCTATGGTACCTTTCCAAGAGCAGCGCATATATTACGACAAGCTTCTGCAGCTTTGGTGCCAAGTTTAAACTCATAAAAGTTTAAACTCAGACAGGTCCTTTTATAAGGCACTTTTCACTTTCACTTCTCAGTTGAAGGACATTGATGTCACTAATCTTCGATCCATATCGTTTCTGCATAAAAAGAAGTGATTCACTACATATCTAGTAAGCACTCGTTAATCACGGGTTCATAAATTAAGGCTGGGATTTAGCATGAACTGAAGCTTTCTTCACTGTTGTAATAAGAACGATCTGCTGATTCGTCGATCTGGTGAGATGCATGGCGCTATATCCATCCAGTGTGCGCTGATTTATAACTAGCTGTCTCATTGCGCTCTACTGTTCGAGACAGTGAGGATGAGCAAGAAAAAGAAAAAATTATTTCTTATCGTGGAAAGCCAATCTTCGTCATTGTAGGGTGGGCGGGGAGGAGAAGGGGTGGGGGGGGGGGGGGGGGGGGGGGGTTGAGTGCCATCAGCAGCTGGTAGTTAAATGTTGTTCCCCGAAAAAACCTGCAAATCATGGAGCTAAAAGAGAATCAGCAGTTGTCACACCACAGTTCAATAATTAAAATAAATAAGAAAATTGCAAAAAAAATAGACGACTTTTCACAAAAGATTAAAAGAGAAAAAGTCATAGTTGTGTCTTCAGTATAACCGTGCCATCCCAAGCCTTCGTATGAGAACAGACCAAACCAGAGCTTCATAGGAACAGCTAAATGAATAGGATACAGAAGCCTTAAACTTGGCTGTTGCCATGGAAAGAAGTGTTGAAGGGCTTGGCAGGATGAAGTTGTGAGGAGCTAATTGGGATGTCTTGGAATACGAGGAACTTTTCCTTTATTCCTTTCTCGAAAAGCTAGGGTCATTTTTTTCCATTTATCGCCTTCACCTCAAAGCCATTGTCTTTGGAATTGGCGTACGACCATTCGAATAAAAACGTTATCAAAATGATAAGTAAAACCTGACGAATGAGGCGGTCTAATTTATCTAATTTCGAAAAATGTTAGCTACTTCAAAGCTCACTGCCATCTTTCGATGGGTGCGAATGCTTCCTGGCTACTATTATAGCGAGCGGCTCTGCTGATGACGTACCCTCAGGAAGTTTGATGTTCAGTGGACTTCAAAACTCAACGTCTTCAAATTTTTATATCACAGCTCCGTAGAGCTCGAAGAACTCAGTTGAACTATGTGGGCTGACATACGAAAAAAGTGAAAACCAAAGCAGTTATAGAGAAGACACGAAAAGAAGCTATATCGATTTTTTCGTGTTTTTTCGAACAGCTAAGCTAAGTATTGTGCTCCAACTTCCCCATATTCGAGCAGGAAAATGTATGATTCTCAAAGCTCCCGGAGTTGATTTCAAGTCCATTAATATCTGTACTTGGTATACTTGGTAAAGTACACGTAAAAAAGAAAATAACACAGAAAATGGGAAAATCACATGGCATCACGAGGAAAATCGTATGTACAACATTGTTCTAAAAATCAAGTTGACTCATGTGAACTCAATGACTAGTCTTATGAAGAATTGAACTTCTTTGAAATAACATTCGGGCCTCAAAAGCAATTGGAAGACGTCGAAGACGACGACCACAGCTGAAAAATGGAGGCTTGAACGGGGATCTGGTGCTGTTAAATTTCTAGCAGAGGCCTTCAACGCCTCCTTCCTTATGGGGCTGTACTGAAGGAAAATATGGAACTGGAAAGTATCCACTGTGTGTTTGCCATAGAAATTTTTACAAGTCACAAATCACGCCATTCTCGTTTCATTCCAGGAATAGTGTGGGATTAGCTCTTCTCGATGAGTTCGAGCAAACTTCGGAGCCAGTTCTTCGTGGTGATATGTACATCAAACGGACTATGACGTATATACTGGAGTTCGGGTTAGCCTGTTCCGAATTGTGTTCCGGAAAGTATATGACGCATCCCCACAACACCGTTGACCAGGACCGGTTTTCCGTCCAGCTACGCTTGCTGACGGTTCGGTATTTAAGCTGACTGGGTCCAGATTGGACCCTCTAGTGAATTCATAGAAATAGACACCGTTTTGAGCTATCCCTTCCACTAGATTTGAGTGATGCTTCGGCTTCATGTTACTCTTCTGTTGTTTACAGCAGGTTTGTCTACTTTGTTAATTGCTCTGTTTCGTACCTGATTTATTCGATTCTTCTACCAATCGGAAGTATGTATGCTGTAGATTCTAATATGTCCATAAATCCCCTACCTACAAGTACATCAGAAAGAGCAGAAACGGTCGATAGGAGGGGGTGAAAAAGGGAATTCCCCAAATCTCCTCTCACATTTACTCGGTTGAAGAAGAACAGACTGATTGAAAACTCAAGGCTGCCCGGCAATCCGCTGCGATTACTTTTCATTTTTTGCGCTTTGTACTGTTTATTGCATTACGAGTATCGTGCGCTTACACTTTTTACATGACAATCAACACATCCATAACGACGACTTCAGTGACCCCCGAGTGAACCCCTGTTTCAACAAAATTTTTGGATAGCTCCTGCTTCAGATTCTTGAGTCTTCTGATCGTTGGTTCCGACGACTGATGGCGTCTGATATTGCATCTACCATTTTCACGTTTTGTACTATTATGTAGACACCTGTAGGAGTAACTAGTTCCTAATGGGGGTTCGAACATTGTCTGAAGTTTTCCTAGAAAATTGGTTAGATAAACGGAAGGTCATCACGGTTCCTCAACTTTTCTGAGCTTGACTTGTTAATAGGGTGTTATCGACCTGATGTTGTAACCTGATGTTTTACATGCTACTGCTATCTAAGTTACGCAAAACTTTTTTGTACCAACTGACTACTAAAAGGTCGAGCTGGAACCAATTCTGTGATCCCTTATGGGGGTTCGTCGTTTCAATTTGATTTTTATGATAAGTTTGATACAGAGATCTACTGCTTAACTCATGTCCCTTTCACTAACTCTCTGCTACATACTTCAAAATTTATTTGGATAATTCCGCCGTTGATCCTTATTACCGGCCTGTAATGATCATTCAGAGAGGGAGGCCTCTCCTAACGTTATTGACTGCATATTCATAATCGGAGGTAGATATTTCAAATGAATACGTGCGAGGAAGTGACCCATCCTGTAATGACACCTATCGACCCTTTCCAATAATCTGCGCTCTGATTTTTGATTTCTCAGCGATTTGGGAGGTCTTAAAAAGTGGCATAGGTAAAAACATGAGGTCCTTCATGTGAAGATCCAGCTCTTAATCTTTGTTTACTTTTTTTGTACCCATCCTTTGTGGATGCGATTAGAAAAGATTTTGCCTTCTACGGCACTCCTTCAGGCCTTTCTAGCCTATGAAGGAGCCAAAAAGTGGTAACAAAAGAGGACTTCAGCTACCTCCGGCATTCCAGGTTTCAATGATTGTTCAGTTTTGGCAGGTGTACAGGTGTCAGTTTTTCTTGAACTTGTGGCAGCAGGAGGTGATATCGGATCCACTTACTTTGTTTCTACGTGGTGGTATCGATAGGTAACCGTGGCCGTGGCTGTCCATGGATTCTGCATTTTTCTAAAAATGCGTTGTTTATATGCGCTGTTTGCTGTTCTGCTCAGATGGTACAGAATTTTTCCAAGTGTGTTTATTGTTTGTTTGTCGAGGTCACTGGAGGGTGCTGGGTGGATTGGCTCTTGCAGGTTGCGTGACTTTTCCTGCGGTTGACAATCCGGAATGGAGCTACTGATATTTCTATCATTTCAGCGATTCCTAAAGGAGAGATTCAGGTTTACAGTAGTCAGGAATCAGAGCTTAAGGGGTGGAAGTGCTACAGCAATGGGTGATAATACCTGGAGCTAAACCACAATTAGCATAAATAGCCTTTACAACTATCTCTCACCGTCATCTGAACTTACCCTACCTCATTAATAATGGAGTTGAACGGATTGCATCTCCTTACGATCAAATTTCCCGACCAGACCAACATAGGTCCGAAATCACTGTCCTTTTTCTTTATTTTTTTTTATTCATTTATTATGCCCAAAGGTGCGCCACTAGGAAAGCCTAACAAAGAAACAATACACAGAAGCCCAAAAAAGCCGTCAAAACTGAAACCGCGCAATTAAAGTGCTTCACATACTAAAGATTGATAGAAGATTGATTGATAAACTTTTTGTGCGCATATTCTGGAATAGTTGAGCCTTGGATGAAGTTATCGCTCTAGTTCCGTTTGGCATCGTTTTCGCAATTATGTAGACTTCATAAGGTTTCTGGCTGCTGGCAAAACGGATTAAAAACAGACACAGACTGATTACTATCAATTATCTTTAGATGGTTCGAACTGCTATGCCAGTCAAATGAACGTTCTCCTGTGAATGAATCGCTTCCTCCGTAGGTTGATGCCATCCGCGTTGCATGATAGCGTGAGGAATGTTGTCGTTGATCGAAAGCAGTTTTGTGTTGTGTTTGAGAAGATGATGACTCAAACGGGGTATTGTGGCTAGAGAGCCTGTCCCTCATAACATTTGTACACGGCGCACCGAAAAATAGCCTTTGTTTGTGCTGTCCAGTTCGTCAGCTGCTCGACACAAGCATTTCTCCGAAGATGTCCCTGTGAACGCCCCATGAAGGCAATAGCAAAAAAACTGTGCTCATCATGGATTAACTTTCGAGAAATTTTCATAGACGTAATTCTCATTTCAGCCGCTGAAGCCAGCTCACTTTCCGGACGAATGTGCATGACTGTGGAGCTCTATCGACCCGCTGATAACTCGAGCCGATTCTACGAGTGCGCTCCTCTGGCTAAAGAAGAGGTGGGCCTTGTTTAGACTGTTACATCAAAAAAGTAGTTTGACGACGAGGTTCAAAATGACGAGGTAACAGATACAAACGGTCCCATTGAACGTTTAGGGCCATCTTAATCATCTGTTCCGTCATCCGATTTTCATATTCTGATTTCTGAATGTTTGTAGGTGCTTCACGTGGTATTCCTCTGTGTACTCAGTCCTGTACTGTAGCCACTAGACTTTTACACCTAGCAGCTTGAACATGGCCTGAATACTGCTACCATAACTGCGGACTCTCTTTTTCCATACCCCCTAAAATTACTTAGCAATAATGGGATTCTATTCAGAAAAGATTTCACTGCGAAACATTGAATTCTGAAAAACTCCAAACGATGACCATTCTTGCTGCAGTGCAGTCCCTTACTTTTTATCAGAGAATCTGCGAAAAATGGTCACTTTTNATAACTATACTTTTCTTGGTTACAAATTCTGGTAGAATGCTTCACAGATGAAGAGAGTGACTGCTGATCGCATTGAAGTTGAACACGATTCCGAAAACATAGAGTTCTACTTTTAAGTGATTACTACTAAGCATCATCAGTTATCGAGTAGTTTCGCCGATTATGTTTGGAGCCCTGGAGGTGATAAGCGCGTTTTGAATTTTATACTTCATTCGAAGTTTATGATTCAGGTTTTTTTCCTTTCTGGAGCATTTAATGGCTGGAAGTAGATCATCATGAATTGTTCATAAGGTTTTTTTGCGACCCCTTGAGCCACTGTAAGGAAGCCGCTGTTTAAATAAATTTTCTTCGCATCCAGGTGATCTGAAATCGCTCAGAACTAACTGGAACAACAACGTTCAGACAAGCGAACGAAAAGTGTCTCACCTCTTTGGAAGAAGCACATACTCCGACTTTCACCAGGTGCCCTTATGTGTCGAGCCTTGGCCGACACAAATAACCAATCTTTACGGGTACAAAACAGCGCTACTTATTATAGTGCGCATCTGATCGCAGCCACTCTGGCAATCTGGGGTGGATACTTGAATACTTACCCTCCCTAGACCTACCATCATACGGCTTCCATACCTATTTAGTTAGGCAAAAAGTGGATTCGCTACATCAACCGCTATTTCTTCATTGTGATTCAGTTCTGTGAACTGAATTGAATTGTGAATTCGCTATTTCCTCATTGGTATTTAGTAAACTGAACATTCTACCTGACAAAACTCACTCACATCCCCACCTGGTGCACTTTACCGTTCAACTGTTTTTCATTTTTTGAAAAATTCATGGGAAAGAGTTAAAAGGTGACAAAGACTGGCATAAACAACGGCTAATCTCCGTACACGCTGCCCTATAGTAGTGCCCTAATTTCGACTGACCAGGGCGGAGACACGGCGCATCCCGAGGCAATCATCAAAGCGTATTGCTTTATCCTTTGTACATACAATGTAATTCTTTCTGTAATATACACGAAACTCCTACCTGTGAAGTAATGCAGATAATGCAGTTGTGAGAGTAACTGCACTTGAACGTGACGTTCGACTAAAATATACTCTTGTGCTCCATCTATATTCGCTTTCACGACTGAGTTCATCAACTGATCGAGTAAGGGTCTGAACGATTCTTTCCCGTACAATCTTTCCAAGCGACTAATCAAAAACCAGATTCCGGAAAGACTTTTCTGAATAGAAACCTGTAATATCATGGTCTCAAAGGGTTTCTCAGCAATCCTTCTGGGAGGCTATATTGATATGGGGGTTTCCCAACATTCTATCACGATAATGCTGCTCGTTATGAAGGTAGATAAGCTCGGAAATGGAAGTATTCCGAATAGCTGAAGCATGGAGGTGAGCATTACGGCAGCATTTGTTGATAACTGCAGTACTAGTGTATCAATTTCACAAATGTTTATAACTTATATTAGGTTGTAAGGGAAGTTCTGGCCGTTCCCACGCACGCGCCACATGAATTCAAGTTTTGGCGGCTGTCCATCCAGACTAAACGACATATTGTGTTCCATAGATAAGTCATTAGTTGTTCTTTCTACCATAGCGCTTTTCCCAAAGTCTGTAAGGTTTTGGAATCCTTAGAAGGTTTTTTTTTGGCAGAATGGATAAGACTGCTTTTTAAGCGGTTTTACTTCACGAGTTCAAACTTGATCGAACTGCGAAGGATGCAGCCACAAACATCAACGCTGTATAGGGAGAAGGCACTGCTTCGGAGCGAACGGTTTGTCGCTGGTTTCAGAAGTTTAGAAGTGGAGACGGGTCACTGGAAGACGAAGAGCGAGTTGGTCGACCATCGTTCGTTGATCACGATGTTTTGCTAAGAGCAGTCGAAGAAGATCGACGTCAAGCTTTGAGAGAGACTGTCAAGAAGATGGGTGTCTCCCACACAGTTGTCGCTGCCCACCTTAAGCTGCTCGAAATGGTGAAGAAACTTGACAAGTGGGTGCCACACGATTTCACGGAGCAGCAACAACTGAAGCGCTTAAAGGTTTCAAGTTCACTGTTAAGAAGAAATGATGTTGAGACTTTTCTCTATAGTATTGTAACGTGTGATGAGAAATGGATCCTGTATGATAACAGGAAGCGCTGCTTAGTGGGTGGGTGTGGATGAGCCTCCAAAAAATTTCCCAAACCAAGTTTACACGTCACGAAAACAATGATCAGTTTGGTTGTCCAACCATGGATTAATCCACTTTGCGTTTCTTCCTCCAGGTCAAACCATCACCGCACAGTCAGTGATCGAATTCACAAAAAGTACACGAAAGTGGGGCAAATGCAGCCAGCACTAGTCAGTCGCCACGGTCTACAGCTCTTACACGACAATGCGCAACCGCATGTGTCACGAATTGTCTTCCAGAAGTTGAACGAGCTGCGAATCGAAGCTCTCTCTCATCCATCCTACTCACCAGACCTGTCACCAACTAACTACCATTTATTCAAACATCTGGACAGCTTCTTGAAGGAAAGAGTATTCAAAAATCAAGGCGACGTGGAAGCTGCCTTTCTCGAGTTTTTGGAATCCAGATCTCCGGACTTTTATAAGAATGGAACAGACAGACTTGTATCACGTTGGCAAACATGTGTAGAATCGAATGAGGCCCACTATGAATAAAAATGTTCTCTTTGAGATGAGTTATAACTTTTTGAGAAGTAGCTGAGGAAACGGCCAGAACTTTCCTTACAACCTAATAGTTGACCAATTTCTCTTGTTGTGCCTCAAAACAAGAGTGAGCAAGTTTTTTTTTGGTGCGTGTTGATTTTTAGCCTCTTTGGAATGGGATGACTAGATCTCAGAGAACCGTGAACAATCATGTTTGCTCTCTCGAAAATCTACTCGTTGCTGCTATGTACTTATATTTATGATGCCCCAAGTACCCTCGTATCTATAACATTACCACTGATCACTTTAGGTGAAGGAATATAATCTTTCGGACAAGTATATGGGTGTATGGAATTTACGCGACTGCCCTGAATCCTTCGAGTTCGATGTTGGTCGCCAGAAGTGCCTGGACCGAAAGACGATACGTCGCCAACAAGCCGCTTGCGCTCATAACGTGTCGAGTGTTGGATGCGATGTGCCCTGCAGTGGTACGTGGAATACTTCTCCATAACTCTGTGGTATGGAAAGTCTTTATGGGCATACTGAATTCTATCTAAGTCGTAATTAAATCTAGGTCGTAAATTCTAGGTAGTTGGACCCTGAGTGTGGGTCACAAGTAATCTTCAGCCTAAGTTTCCTTTATCGGTCAGTATTCTAACGTTAGCAAAGACAAATTTACCCTCAGGCTCGCTAAAATCAGGTCGTGTCTGCATTTGAAGTATGTATGTGATTCCTACTTTTACATTACTCTTTCAATTTTTGTTGCAATATATCAAATGGTTCTGTCAAAATTACGATGCCATTCATTTTAGAAACCCAGTTCTTCCGAGCCCGCGTGCTTTGGGTAAATCCTGGGAAAATTACGTATTGACTAAACTTTCGACCATAACTAGATTTCGCTCTTCCGTACTTCTACTTCAGCTTCCGGACAAAGCTTTGCCACTGATACTTTTGATATCCTTCTGACGTCACACATCGTGCTAGGAATTCTCAGAATAAGTCTCCTTTGAAACGGTCTCGATAAGCTTTGAGACATCCTAGTGTTGGTTAGACGAAATAAATACATTCTCCTTCAGTAGTAGAAAATTCTGCTGGGTGGAATTCGCTTCATTATATATTATTCGAGTGTTGCTATAGGCGCTGTGTCAGTCCCAACAATTGGAGCGCCATGTGACTGGAGAGAAGCTGCTTTACGGGCCGATCCGAAGAGCAATGCTTATTTTATTCAGTGTATTCCGCAGTCCGCCAGGTGAGCTCTTCATTTAAAAAGCTGCTATTTCTTTGAATAATATTCCTGATATTCCTCTAATAGTTTTTAGTAAAATCGAAAATGGAAATTGCCGACCGCCTAGAAACCCTCATCCGTTCTTAATAAGTAGGGAGTAGGAGAGAAGGGGAAGAGAGAACGCTCGATCTACTTTCCTCTGAAGCCGTGAATATTTCTTTGTGACTCCATTCCGTTTTGTTTTCGCGTTAACACTCCAATGTGCTAACAATTATAGTGTGGCGTAGGAACAACAACTTTCCTCCCTGCCACCTATAACTCTCTGATTTTAGCTCGTATAGACTCGGTAAACCAAACATTGTAGTAGTTTCGTCGGTAAAAAAGATAGTGAACCATGTTCTACTTTACATCATGTCTCCGACTTCTCGCTTCGCAACCAGGATCTCAAAAGAAAGATGGCTGTTTAGGGGCTTATGGAGATACCAGTCGGGCCGCCCGATTAACGCCGGGCCTGCCTCGTTCTCATGATAGAGTTGTAATAATCAGCAAATGGCCCGCTCGTTCTTTGGTACATATAATACTTCTTGGACCACGAAACTTGCCGGAGGACTGACAAGGCATTCAAGCGGTACTCAGCATGTGCCCACGCTTACGCCCATAACTGGAAGTCTCGATCTGCTGCACTTCATCTTGAGCATGTATCCATTGAAGGTTCGACTGGACAGCATTGAATATTTTCGCTCACGCCACGCCCCTTGTGGGTGGCAGTCCTGCCACCCACCATTAGTGTTCCCATCTTGCCTCCTGTATACCTACCAAATTTTAGCGCTCTAGGTGTAATACGACATTTTTTGAGCATGATTCGTTCCTGTAGGCGTAGCCTAGTCCCGCCACCCAAAATCAGAGCTCAAGCTCCGCCGCCTGTACTCTTTGGTTCTCTAGGTCCACAGGAATCGGAGTTATAGCTTTCCGCTCAAACATTCATTTCGCACGAACCCCGCCCCTTGTGGGCGGAGTCCTATCCTGCCATCCAGCTGAGTGTTCCCATTCTGCCGTCTGTGCTCCCACCAAATTTGAACTCTCTAGGTATACGGGAACGGAGTTATAAATTCTCACTCAAACATTTATTTCGCACAAACCCCGCCTAATCTGGACGGAGTTCGGTCCTGCCCCCACCAAAAGTGTTCACATCCTGCCGCCTTTACTCCTACCGAATTTCAACTCTTTAGGTCCACAGAAGTCGTAGTTATGAATTTCCGGTCAAACACACACGGACAGGCAGACAAACCAATAGACACACTTAGCGCGTTATATAAAGTAGGATAATTCACTATGGACCTTTGTACATTCCATGGTGTTCGTTCCTTCAATGACGCAGTTTACGATTCGCTTGGTTTTACAAATAACAAAACGGTAGGGAATTTTTGCTCTTTTGGGAAAGCTTTGATATGCAACGTTGTCCCTTGGAACACTGTCTAAAAGAGGTGTAATAAAGGCTCACTATACACCAACTTAACCCCATTCCCTTAACCATATTCGGCGAGGCTAACGAACTTGGAACCTAATTGCTCACAGCGTTACCTTCGTTCACCGCGACAGTGTCAAAAATCAAGTAGTCGAAGACCAACGCTTATTTTCGTGGCATAATTTGCAAAACCAGTCTGATCATAAACAATGCAAACAGAACAAATGGAGGAGGGCTATGGCTGAAGGCTGAATGAGAGCTGAAGGTGGTCGCGCTATGTAATGACAAAGGTGTTCGGCCGATGATTCGCCATAACTATTCCCTCTCTAGAGACCTCCAATGCATCCCGTATCATCCAAAGTCGTCTTCGAAGAGGAACGCTTGTAGATTCTCCACTTTTCAGCACTATCCTGAAGATGTTCGGGTTGCCGGCTGTATTTTTCTTCGATGTTGTCGCTAACGGAATATTGCCAGAAGCTCGTGAGGTTACCACAGCGTCCTCAGTTGATAAAGGCCTTGAGGCTTCGTTTCCTGAATTTCGCAGCTCTCCACGCAGTTAAAATCAGAATTTGAAGCAGAGTAGACGATGGTCCGATTCCGTGAATAACTTCGGAACAACAGCAATATCAACCAGGCAAGACTTTCGATTGAAGATAGTGTGATCTTATTGATTATGGAACTCACTACAAGGTGACCCATGTCCATTGTAGATGAGAGGGCTTCTAGAACTGCGAATTACCATGGATGGTGTGGATCAACATGATAAGCTGGGACAGTCTTTCCCCTGCTCATCCTATTCGGTTCCATGGATCTTGATATGTAGCTCTTCAGCCATTCCTCTTGGGACAATTAGTACTCCTCTCTGAAGAGCCTTCCCACGTCCATATAATACGCTTCCAACACCCCTTCTAGCTCCTTTTCTCTTCTGGGTTGATGTTGGTGCGTAGGCAACGACGATTGCTAGAGCTGGGGTTGAGCCACATCTTCTTAATCGCAAACGTCCGATTCGGGTTCGGTCAAGCTTTCGTACGAATCGCTGTTCATGGGCAAGTGCGTATTGACGAGGACACCTACGCGGCCGACGCCTCTGCTGTCGCATGTTCCAAGAAACAGTTCTTCTACAGTCTTGGAAACAGCGTGCAGCGACCGATGCCTTCTCGTCTCGGTCAGTCCGATGACGTCGCACTTGATCTTCCTAGCTTGCATCATCAGGTCTTCTATACACGCTTCCGATTCGAGCGTCGGTGCGTTGAAAGTGCAGATCGTCATCTTAGACTTTCTCCTTTTGGGCAGCCTGATTTTGCCCTGAGATTTTAGCGACCTCTCACAAGCGGTCCTACCCAACGCTGCCGCATTGGGGGATTCCTCAAGTTCAGGAGAATGAGGCCCATTTCTATTGCTGTTTTTGGTGTGTAGATACCCAACGTGCAGCTTGCCAGGCTCTGACGTGGGGGTGAGCTGACTCTGGGTGCTGGCCAGTTTATCCCAAAGTGAGCGAGGGGCTTTATTTTTTGAGGCGGCCCTGAATCTCCTTCCACATGCTTCCCAGTCACTCGAATGCAAGCTTTTGGCCTAGTCGATGGGCAGGCTACCAACCGCACCCACAGACTCCCCACACACGTAGGCGTGGATATCCTGCGAGATACAGGATGTATATCGACCAGCACAGCGGAATCAGGGTTTTCCTCCCCTGAATCCACCCGCGTCTCTGGCCAAGTACTAGAGACTTTTGGTCGGCGATTTACTCCCCTATCCCCACCTGGGGACGCCCTACGTAGTCTCTTCACTGACCGGCTGAGATCTTCCATTGAGAAAGAACCCTCCCCCCCCCCCCCCACCCCCGTGGAGGGGTCCGTACAAACGAGTAAAGTAATAAATAAATTGAAGCAAATTGCTTTCTAGCCTGTCTTGTGGTGAGTGGACACGTCTTCCATGTGCGTCGAACACGGTGTTTTCACCATCTTCATCTCTCTGTATACCAATGGCGGTCAAATCGTCAGCATGTGAACCTCAGCAAGAGCCCGTGTGCAATTGCGCACAAGCCGCGGGAGCGACTCAATGTCCTGGAATAGCCGTTTGTTCCAAGGTGATTTTTTATGAAAAAAAAAACCAAGATCTCGGCGAAAAGCCTTCCTTTCATGGTTTCCGAGATGTAGACTCACAAGTTGCAATGTTAAATTGATTGGTGTTTCAGAACGTGTGCTGTCAAGAAAGGGAGGTCCTCGATAACTTCATCCAGCATCAAGCTCCACGTATACTACTTTTATTTCTGTTGATTTAATGTTTTTAAAGGAAGCTTTTTTGGTTTAAAGGGAATACAAAGTACAAATGTCTCTTTTCCAGTATGTCCTGGATCGAACGTTCCACCGCTGGGATCTTGCAACGAGCCTTGTCCTCAATGTGAGCGCCATTTTTTTTTACTTTCGTGCAACCACTACATTCCTGACGCTCCTCCTTCTGAGTAGTGCACAAAAGAAGACACATCTACAGGCTTCTGACACTCGATGGAAGTATGGATGTAATGTAGCATTCCATATTCTAGATCCTCTTCATAATTCTGAGAGCAGTTCTCATAACAGGCCTTTGGTGCAAAAAGATCTAATGAAATGGTTTTTAATTTCACCAATCACATGATTCTTTNTTTGTGTTGTATTTTATTATCTGTAGAAGGTGATGGCCGGATTGACACGAAGGCTTTACATACATTTTACTTCAACAGACTTCTGTGCTGAATTTGGCAATAATGACAACATAATCTAACTGGTTTTATGGAATAATTGAATACCCAAAACCTGGGTATTCCATCAATTTGCTGAAAGAAAACATTTTATTGAATCGTAAAGTTCTCTCTTCGGCGTGGGGTTTGCATAGAAATACTCTTTCAACCTTATTGCACTTTCCCGCAAACATTCAGGAGATTCGTGGATTCCACACCACATCCTACGGAGCGCCCACCAGTTTTACACACTTCATTTTTTTCAGATTCTGCTTGTGCTCCTGGCATTGGATGCTGCCCAGTTCCAGTCAATCAGCCGAAACAGTCCATTAAAATTAGTTAGTGTTGCCTCTGGAACTACAGCTTCCCTGCTTCATAGGACTGCTAATAGCCTGTATTACATGGATTCAGGTCTCTGCCCTGGATCGTTTTCGCCTCCATTGGGTTCATGCGGATCGTGCCCCCAGGGGACTTCCTGCAGCTCGTCTGTTGAAGCATGCTGTCCTTCTGCCACTCGACCTTCTACTGATCTAGTCTACAGCGTCATACAATTATGTCCAAGTGTGTCCTTTTCTGTTTACAACGTGATTAAATAATTAAATGAGTAACTGATTAATTAATTAGCTAACTAGTCCTTTGCAGCATGGTTTTGCTACGACCTGAATCTTTTCAGTATTTTCTGATAACCGTCGTTTGTTTCAACTGATTGAGACTTCACATTGAATAACTCGAATGTTTTATATCAAAGCCGTAATATCTTGAAAATAATAGGATAGTTGGTATGTAGCTTAAGGACTGGGCACTGACTGTTTCAGATGGTCAACCATCACTTCAGCCTTGTTCTGGTGGCTGCCCTCCAGGTAATGCATGTTTTCAAGGAGGTTGCTGTCCGATGAGTTGTCCCGTTGGTCAGGTCAGTGCGCTGTTACCCGATTTTCCATCATATATATCTAACACATAGATTTATGGCTACTATGCCTCCCTCACGTAATTACCACAGCCGGCTTCCAAGGGAGACGGGCAGTAGGAACGGTTTTGTGTAATCGATTCGCCGCACGCGGCTGTCGCGGACATTCGCCTCGTCTTTATTAGGGCTCCAGCGTTCTTTATACACCTCATTCGATATACGATCATTATTTTAGGCATGATTCTACTATTACTTCTTTTGGCTCTGTGTTTTTTACCTGCTGTTGCATTCTGCTACTTTTCTTCGCGCGCGGCGTCCCTTTTGCCACGACGCGACACTTTCATTGCTACTGCTCTACACCCGGCTGCAAACCTTTTTCGCACGTTAATGTTCATGCTTTTGTTCAATTCCGTCTTGTGGTCTCTCGCTAGAGATCGGGAAAAGGAAAGCATACAATAGTCATGCCTCATTCAATCGCGTACAAGTTTGTTCGGATCTTCTACCTGCTTTCAGTACTCGATATACAATGCTGTTTATGGAGGGATCCCTCTTTGTGAACTTGTGAATGAAATGACGATGTTCTTTTCGAGTACTAACGTTGAGTACTAGATGCTGAATAGGATGTACTGTTTAGACGGCGTTGAGTTTCTGTTCGCCCGGTGGTTGTTCAAGTGGATCATGTTACCTACCTAGTGGATCATGTTGTCAAGAAATGGTCAAGCTTCCAGTTTGTCCAAATGGTCAGCAATCACAACGGCGTTGCACAATAGATCCGGTATGCCCTACATTGTAACTAGATTGAAAACAAAAGATATTTATTTGAATACAATTGGTTAGAATATCGTGGGGAGGAGTTAGCGACATTTACAGATAAAACAGTGAATAATAGGCATTATAAAAATGGTTTCAGGAATGCGGTCCACGTATGCAATGTTCAAATGGTGGATGCTGTCCGATGCCGTTTTGTCCAACTGGAGTTCAGGTGAGTACTTCCAATTCAGATGTCGCTATTACTACTATTTGTTTCTTTACATAAAAATAACGGTAAATTGAAGTAACGTTTGGGCTAGCGCTGTAATTTCGAAGCCATTTATTCGAATACACTTGTCAATGCAGAAAATACTACTAAACGGGCTCTAAGTTGTCAGACAAGACGAGTAAAGGTATTGCAGCGGTGGAAGGGCAATCTAGAAGTATCGAAAGCAGAAGTACAGCTTAGACCACCTTTATGGGAAGCCCCACCCTAAGGAGATTGGCGCGCAGCGAGTGAGCTAGACCTATCCGGATGACTCGTAAATCTTCTTCACACCAACAACGAAGACAAGGATCTCACCTTTTATAGTTTCACAGTTTTAAAACTGTTTTCACAATGCCTCTTCCCCCTATCGATGGGTGGCTCACCTGGCGCAAACGCTATCGAACTCGACGCCTTAATTTTGCAAAATGTTTTCTTGTTGAACGTGTTGGACGGATTTTTCGAAATTCATTCCCAACTACAAATAAGCTGAGTGGTCGACAATTTCATTTAACAATAAGTATTTCGAGTCAGTCTAATATTCTTTCATTCAGCAGCGATTAGCCCAGTTCAGAAAAAGCATAAAAATCATGCCGCTATGTAAGATATGCAAATTCGTTCATACCATTCGCATAGGTTCCGACGCTCACTGTATGAGCTGTACGACCTTGGAAATACTTTAGCAGTTCAACTATTTTTTTACTTATCTTCGATAGCTTATTTGCAGGCACGAATGCGTTGTGGGAACTTGAACATGATGTGCGCGCCAGGTAGCATCTGTATGGAAGGAGGATTGTGCTGCCCATTACCTCGTTGCCCGAATGGAATCATTTCACTGGGTAACCACAACTTTGCACAACTTTTTAATAAATATATTGAAACATACGACCCCGAGATAATGTTCAAGAGTCGCCAGAGCCAGGCATTTTTCTGAAAATTAGTTGAGTAGAAAAGAGAAGGCTAGAATTGATCTTCGCTAATTATCGTACTCTTCAACAGCCTATCTTATATGAGATTTATATAAATAATCAGAAATCGTTGAACGACTTCAGCGCCTACCAGTGGGGTCCAAATTTGAAGTAGAGTAGATTAGTAGGATCACCTGACCATATTAAACTACGTTACTTCGAGTTTGTGCCCCGAAAATTGGCGCCAGAGCCGTACAAATCGTCACGAACTTAGCCGCGCAACTTGCCGCGCGCATCTTCGGACGCACGTAGTGCACGGAGGGGAGTTCTAATTTTGCTGTCAGTGTGGCAAAAGAGGATAAAACTGGTAATGGGGTCTAATCAGAGATCCCGTTAGCGATCCCTGCACTTCACAGCTAGCATTTAGCATTGATTAGGGTCTATGAGGGCGAAGCTAGGCTAAGATTCGCTATGAAAGACAAGGAACGTTAATCCTCTTTGAGAGGAACAGGGTCCTCTAGGGGGGTACAATAAGTAAAGTGTAACAGATTGAAGTCAGTTGAACCTAAAACAACCATAAGCCAACACATCAAAAGAACAAAGTAACCAGACGGACTGAAGACGGTTTTTTTCGTTTCTTCACCAGACGGACCACCGTCCCTTCCTTTCCATGTGGCTCATCAGCGGTCTGCGGCTAGTAGATAAAGGGGTGGGTAAAGATATAATGTTCGAGAACAAGAGTGAATACGGAGATATGTTATTTGAAATGCTTATTTCTGCTTCGACTGTCAAGTTTGTCTCGCTCACACCTCTATAGGCTGTCTCACTCATTTGTCTATTGACAGGAATGTAAGCTAAATGCCTTCAGATATCACCATATCTAAATACGGTGCGATAACGTCAACAAATAGTGTTCTCTAGGAATTTGCTCGAGGACCCTCGACTGTGGCCGAGTCGGAGTTGAATGCGACAATGGTGCTTGCTGTCCTCTTCCGACATGTCCTAACAACTTCGTGGCAACTCAGAGGCATCACTCTTCATCTTTAATCAAAATTTTCTTGCAACTTTGTTCAAAACCCAGCTCTTCTACAAAAGAGACTGGTAACTAACCAATGAGTGACCGTACGCAGCTCATTGAAATTGCTTTCTTCTTTTGAATTTAACTTAACTTACAACCAATTCGCAGTATACCTACTTTCAGATGCGCAATTGGCTGTGCTAACTGCTGTCCACCAGGGAACACCTGCGTCAACGGTGGCTGTTGTCCGCTTCCACAGTGTCCTTCAGGTAAGCGTTTTCCATTTTCATGTCATTAAAGTGGCCTTCCATTATTGTCATCTCCGTGGCTGAAGGCATCTCGCCGTAATCCGGCAAAACAAAAGCAAAAAACTGTGAAAAGGTGGTACCGGAAGAGGCGGTAGAAGTGGCTTGAAATCCCCTTGACTTGAGTGTTCCGAGTGTCCGATTTTGGAGTTTGTGATTGCATTTAGTTTTTACTAATGAGCTGTATGGCATTTACACTTTTACGTAACCTGAAGAATATGTCTCACGTAATAGGGACTGGACTAAACCAGAGATGGTAGCTGTTTCTATCTTTCAGCTCTTATTTGATTTTTTTGTTTTTGACTTTTGTTTGGTTTCTTTGCATTCTTTTCAAGGTAGATAACTTGTTTAGGCAGAACCATACTTATGAAGCACTCATACTAGGCTGCATAGTTGGAAGCTGCTCGAGTTTTTGAATATAATACTTCAGTGACGGGTCGAAAATCTCACTGGGCACGTATTCGGGTGAAGTACTACGCATTACCTGGTCCCCTTCGCCAAGTTGATAGCTCACTTCCCTCCTTTTCACTACTGTTCGAGACCGTCGCTTGGGAGCGAAGTAAATAAATAATAAACAAGGACCCAAGAGTGCTTCCGGCTAGGTGTAGACATTTGTTGTTGTTTGTACTTTAAAAATACTACCATGCTATATCAAGATGCTCGTTGCCAACCTTTATCTGTGTTTGCTTCTACAATTAGTATGTTTACGTTATCTCACTAGTGAAGTTTTATATTAAGCACACTTACGAATGCATAAATAACCAAAAATGAATAGCGGAATAAATCTTAATGTATAGCAAATACAACTGTCAATTCTAGGAGGTTTGGCACTTTCAATGTGTACAAGTCGTGGTTGTCCACTTGGAACTGAGTGCGTGGGCGGAGGATGCTGTCAGCTACCTCGATGTCCATCAGGTCTTCAAGCCATGCAACGTTGTCAATTGGGTATTGGTTGTGCCCGTGGACATGTAAGTAATCTTCAATACCATAGCTTTGACTGTGTAACCACAGAATCTCGGCCATGTAGGTTCGATAGAGGAAGGCTCTTTCTATTTACATTCTATTTGGGTCAGAGTGGAAAGTTTCGGGGGTGTGCGAACATTTGCACAATCGCTCTAATTAAGCTCTCCTTGCACTTAGGTGCGAAGAGGCCTTGATGATGCGAAGGCTCCGCGGTAACTATTGCCTGCACATCGTTATTAATCGCCTCAAAACTTATCAACCAATGATAATAATAACTGTGAAAAAATTAGGTTTTATACTGGATAATTTTTCACCAGAAAAAATTCCAACAAATCCAGTCAAGTTCTACTTGCACTTAGGTTCGAAGAGACCTTGATTAGCTTCCGCGGTAACTATATTGCCTGCACATCGTTACTAATCGCCTTGAAACTTATCAACCAGTGAAAATACTAACTGGAAACCTGGTTTCCATACTAAACAATTTCTTTTGACAGGAGAAATTTCGACATCGTGGCTTTTGGAAGTTTCATTTGTTTTTAAATTTTTTTGAATAATACGTGAATTTGATTATTTTTAGTTAAAGTTTTTCTGCGAAATGGGAAGAAAGCGGTTCATCTTACTTCCTTTTTTGAATTTCTGCCCATCTATGATATTCACATACTTTACAGAAGCGACGCAATTCACAACGCACTTTGGCTCATCGTTCAGGCCATTTTTCAGTTTTTACAGTGTATATTAAGCAGTCCACCCAAATTTTTCAGTGCAGCTCTCAAGAGCATTATGCGTCATTGGGATGGGAAAGCATGGGCGTGAAAGCCGACAGCCGCTACTTGCATCATGTTCGCTTTGCAGACATTGTGCTTATGACAGCGAACATCGAGCAGACGGAACGAATGCTGGCAGAGTTTGGCAGTGATTGTGGCGAGATCGACCTACAGCTAAAGTCCGGCCAAAATCAGATGGGGCGGACACGTCATGCAATATTGTGATGACTGTTGGACCACGGCGGTCACTCACTGGATCCCTGGGGACGTCAAGCGAACACTAGGACGGCCGCCAGCGAGGATGAGACTTCTTCACTGAACGCTCTGAATGGAAGGAATGGTGGGCCTCGTGCCCCTGAAACGAGGGCGGTTCACTGGATCACTCTAGCTCGTGATAGGGACGAATGGAGACGCTACTGGCGCCTGCCTGAGAAAATCGACGATCATAGGGGTGATAGGTGATACATGTGAACTTGTTATGCACAATAATAAAACTTTTGAAACCAGTGAGTTAGAATTCCTCCTGTCAAAAAAACTTAATGGAGACGCTAGTGGAGAGCTTAATTAGGTGCAATCGTACAATTGTTCCCCCCCCCCNCCCCCCCCCATCCAGGCGATCGGAGTTCGCAGGGCGAAAGAAGGGATTCACGGGTAACGACATTCTTCTTTACTAGCAATTCCGTTCAAGATTCTCCCTAACCTCTTCGTAAAAGAGTGAATTGTTAGCTGAAGTGCACAATTTTCACCTTGCGTGCTCTGAGTGCTACTTATAAACAAATCTCAAAATTCGAACCACGAAAGCACCGCACCACAATTGGGGGAAATCGTGCTTATCTAAATCGATCTAGCGTTTTCAATATTTCTAGCAATGCGAGAATGGAGTGTGCTGTGCCATGCCAATGTGTTCAACGGGATTGATTGCAGCTTCGATATGCGGTATGGGGAACAGCTGCCCCATGGGATTCGTGTGTGAAGGTGAGTAAACAGTTTTCAGGAGAAAAAACTTAGTTTCGGGACTTCTACTTTCCATAGATCGCGCAAAAATCTTTTTCAGGAAGAGGCTGTTGCCCGGAACCGCTACCACTGTGTCCAAATGGTGGCCGCGCTGCTCAGCGGTGCAGAAGTGGAACCGACTGTCCACCTGGATTTGGGTGTACGCCACTGGGTGAGAATTAGAGTAGGAAAATTCTGAGCGGTAACTGCTCGTATTGTAAGAAGACCAAAGTCTGCTGCTCCCTATCAAAAATTTCCTCTTTCGTCTATGGACCATTTTAGAGGTTTCTACTCTCGAAACCTTCGTTTTCATGATTATATTTTCTATCTTTGACACTTGTGTTTTTTTTTGAGCGATTCAGCACTCGTACTGATGGGCGCAGTGCCACTGCCTAATTTTCCATTGGCTGCTTTTATAGTCAGCTGGCGTGCATGCCGGCGTGCCCGTGTGCCAGCCGAGGTAGTGCTGGGGGGTTAGAGGGAGGCAGACGGTCGGTCGACGCGGTCGCGTCGCGCCCAAGCCCCTTCGAAGGGCTGAAAACAAAGAAAAACAGGATCAAAAACCATTTGCTCAAGCCCCTGGTTGTTTGATTTTTGTGTTGTTTTTCTTTGTTTTCAGCCCTTTGAAGGGGATTGAGCGCGACGCGTTGTTTACGCAACATATTCTACTCGACTTCATTCACTTCTTCTTAGTTAGTTTCCTTCCTCATTCTCTCTCTTCCCATTACTCACTACTTCGCCGTACGTTAGCGGGTCTCTCCTTCACCATTCATATTTTCCCGTTCATTCAGGGGCCACTCGCAGTCCTAGTTTATCTATTCGTGTTTGAATCCAGTTCTCCCTTCTGTCTTCCCTCACTACACTGATCACTCGATAATCGTGATGGGAAAAACTATAAAACAATATCATTTTTCGATCAGAAATTCGATGGTCTTGACCACTTTCCTCCTTTCTAGATGTTTTTTTATCTGGAGGATCAGATGGACTTGATTTTTGCACAAACGATAAAACGATTTTTCTTTTTATTACTGAATATTGTTCAGGAGGATGCTGCTTGTTGTCAATGGAACCAGTATGTCCACGACAGTCTAACCCCATTTGCCAATGTTCGCCAAACAGTGCCTGTCCCACAGGTGCTCTATGTACGATGGGAACATGCTGTTCCAAATGTAAGAATTGCAAACCTTCAAAATGTGTGATAGAACAGAAAGAAGTGTAAGTAGATGTGGATGATTCTGTTGGTGACATCATGTTCTGTAGTTCCTTAGAAAAAGCTTATCCTGAGCGACCATTCGTAGGACATCCCAAGATTCAGCTGCGATACACAGTTATGATCATTAGATCAGCGCTGTTGCTGTGTAAAGGAACAGTTCACGATGAAGATTGTTCATGAGATTGTTCCTTAAAAGTGTGCTCTCCAAGGGTAGCACGAAGGACGCAATCGGTTGAAGGACTCTTAGGTAGAACGCAATAAGGGCCCCAAAATCAGCTGAGTCGACGTACACTACCGAAAGACAACGAGTTCTCACAGCTTTGAAGCGGCTTTATTGGTTGCACCATTCGCATCGGGATGCACACGTTTCACGCAGGCAGCTTGCTGTAGCCGCACGCTATAGCACACACATACGGCTCGTCCAAGCGCCTCTTTCCGCGTGGCTTCTGTAACGGCTCATTCTCGTCCAACCCCTGATTTTGCTACTTTTTTGAAGCCTTGCATTTCTCTAAATATGCCGATTTTCGCATTTTCTTCTCTACTTTTGCACTAATCTGGACTATCACTTCCATTATTCGTCTAAAAGTAACTACAGGAATTTATCGTGAAATGTACCTCTGACTGGATTCCTAAAACTAGAACTGGACATCCTTGTAAAGTTGAGATTCGCCACATATGATGCATTCGAACTGCAGTATTACTTCAAGTTAGGACGACTGTATCAGCACTGGCGCCGTGGTGTGTATAGGTCCAAAGATGCTAAAAAAGGTCACTTCGCGTGACGACCTCTGATGTTCCTGGTATGACTGTTTTTACGTCAGCCTGAACTATTCGTAAGCGACAATGGGACGACCAGTGCGAGACCGGATAAAAGGCGTTTTGATGGAAAGGTAACGTCACATCAGTTGTGGGCGAAATGCAGAGCCAGTGCTACGGTAAGATGGATATGTTAGAACAATTCGCGGTGGCCGGGCGTGAAAATCTGGTTTTGCAAAAAACGTGCATGCAATGGCATCCTTTGAACCTTATCCTGATTGGCTCGCACTTTGTAGACTGTACTATGTGATGGGTTTTGCAACTTTACAGTGCCAATTTTAAAAACCGTCATTAAACAGAACTTTCTTGTTTCAGCAGTCGCGCTGTTCAATCAAATTCCTGGCTCGCGGTGTCAAGCATCAACTCAGTGCAATGGCTATTCCTCTTCATGCGCTCAGTGTGTACAAGGAGTGTGTTCATGCATCAATGGAGCGGCATCGAACGGTGCCCACTGTCTTCAAATGCCACCGAAAATGCTTACGCTGGCAAGGAACGGCTGCGATCAGTACGGTTCACCTTGTAGTGTGCTGCTGTCGACTGCCCGTCGACGACCAATCATCGCTCCTGTAGGGAACATAACAGAAACACCACGTTAGTCCGTATGCCACTAACTTCTGTCTTTGATTCATCAATAGGAGGATGGTGCATACAAACGGTGCATGCGAGTGGTAGGGACTGAAATACTTCAATCTCAGCTCTGTGGGCGCTGATCAAATAAGTATTCTCACAAACACAATTTTGGACCGGCTGTAGTGGTTCTACTTTCATGTTCCTTTGAGTTTTCAGTCTTCTTCAATGTTGCTAGTGAACGCCAATGCGTTGCGAATGGTACTGAGCTAGGATTTGATCCTGATAGCACATGTCTTCCAAATGAGAAGTGCATCAACGGTGAATGCAGAATGTAAGTCTCTACAGTTATCAGTCAAAATTGCAAAAGAATTTGGCACAGGAACACTTTGAATGAGTCATCAGAAACTGACGTTTTTTCATAAGGTTTTCGGGGTAACTATGAATTTGTTGAGCTGGACACCGCCTGTGTCCTGCTCGGCAGGACAAGTGGTGCGTCCGAGGACGCGCGCGGCAAATTGCGCGGCGAAATTCATGGTGATAGAAACGACTTAAGCGCCTGTCATTGTGGCCAAATTTGAAGTATCAGTTAATCTTAATGATCTATTTTACTTCAAATTTGGGCCACAGTGGTAAACGCCGCAGTCGTCCAAATTCGCCACGAACTTCGCCGCACAATTTGCCGCGCGCGTCCTCGGACGCACGACTCGACCGTCCCCCAGACAAAGGCGACGCAATGTCTGCAATTGCATACAACACACCCGAACAGCGAAAACAACGAACCTGGGCATGTGTACGAACGTGCGTCCGATGCGGATGAGGATGCGCGCGTCAAAGTGCGTGGCGGTTCGAAGGACCTTGGCGCCTATCACTGGAGCCCAATTTCGAAATGAAGTGGATTAGGAGGATCATCTGGCCCTACTAAACTACACTACTTCGAGTTTGTGCCCCAAAAATTGGCGCCGCAGTCGTACAAATCGTCACGAACTTCGCCGCGCAATTTGCCGCGCGCATCCTCGGACGCACGTAGGTACCCATACCAACCCTCAGTATACTTCATACAATGTCTAAGAGTGCTCTTGGCATTCAAAAAGAACATTGTGAAGATGTTGCACCGAAGAAATTGCTGCCAACAAAAAAAGCCAAAATAATCGCAATAGAAACATTCAAAATCGGTGCATAATGGATAAGTTAACAAAAGAACGGCTTTCAGCCAATTCACTCGCCTTTTCAATCCTTGTACGGTAGGAAGTCAGAATAATAACAGTGACAGCAAGAAGAGTAAAAAAGAATAGTAGAATAGCTGTAAAGTATCGTCTCATCACTGGACGATCAGCTGATTTCGTGCTCAACGGTGAGTCCTGGCGCGAATAATTGCAATCTGTACCGCTTCTACATCTCGTCTGATGTGAAATCGTTTGAGGGACGGAAAGTTCGGGTGAGCCGGTAACGGGACCCCCTCTATGCCCTGATCGCGTTGAGTTTTGGGGCCGAGAGGGTCCTTCTTATTACACTAGAGGGCCACTGGGTATTCCTAGGGTACAACTCAGTAACCATTCTTATCGTGAATTGTGCCTTTAAAGGCGCAGCTCACGATAAAAATGGCTGCCGAGTTCCCCCCCCCCCTCTCAAGGAATATCCAGTGGCCCCCAGGGAGAACGAGAAGGACGCTGTCGAGCCCCAAAACTCAACAGCTAGGGCCCAGTGGGAGCTCCATTGCAGGATCGTCCGGACTTCCCGCCCCTCGATCGATGTCACATCAGGCGAGCGTCGAGGCGATACAGATTGCACTATTCGTTCTAGGACTCACACACAATCAGCTGGTCACCGAATGATGAGGCGATGCTCTTCTTCCATTCTTTTATTCTCTTTTATTTTTTGCTGCTGCGAACCTTAATCTAATTTTCCACCTCAAGAAGATAAAGTAAATGGGCTACTTTTGCTGTTGCTAGGGGTTTTTTGTTAACTTATGCTTATGAGGGAATGCTGACCGTAATGCTATTCGCATCAGGACCCACAAGTGCGCAATGACACACATTGTACAGCTCATCCGAACACCCCATTCTTCATTTTTCTGATCTCGCTCTCGCCCACACCCCTTTTTATCGCTTTTTCGAAGCCATTTTTCCCTTTTGAAACACCGATTCAGGCAGTTTCTTCGCATTCATCGCACTATTCCATCTTATCTTCCATTTTTCGTCATAACCTGGATTACCTAAAATTATTGGGTCTGTGCCTTTAAGGTCTAATTGTAGCATAAACGAACATGAATGACATATATGAGAGTAATGATAAAATGATAGATAAGATAACAATACATCGTGTGCGCAATCCTTCGAGAATACAATTTGTGAAATGGTTCTCTTCAGGAAACTCTGGCCAGGTGAATACGGTTGCAATTCTGACGAGGAATGCACATCCCGTTGTGCAAATACGTACTGTGAGAAAAAGAAAAGCGACAAAAATGTTGCGCAATGTCAGTGCAGCAATGGGCAACTACTATATGGACGATGCTGTAAGTTTTCTGTGAACGTTAGTGAACGACATCGCTCTTCAATCGCCACTTTCAGTCTCTCAGTGTCCAACTGGTTTCCATGAATCAGGAGCTTACTGCATGCATGATGATGAAGATTCTTTCTGGGCTGACGGCGATGCTCAGGACCGCTTGAAGGCCTTACTGAATGCTGGACAGTGCTAAATACCCACATTTTGTTCATTCAAAATGTGTTTGTACAAAATTCTACACTATTCAAAAAAGGAATGCCAATAGCATTGCCATATCGCTAAGCAATTTCGTGGTGCTTTCACTTCAGATCTTGATCGATGTGTTTTCAAAGACACCGTTAATGTTCGTTGGCTGTGTCTGAATATGTATGTACATGTGTATATGAGCTATTTGCTCAATTATTTAATAAACTATCCCATATTTATTTATAACTAACTGTCACATCTTCATGATAGCGCTACTGAAGCAAAGAGTCTTCAAGTAGCCCAGATGCGTCTCTCTTGATATTCTGTTGAACTGTTACGCCAGCGTAGAATTGCTCGAGCTACAGGCAATTAACAATTAATGTCCAAATTTGTCAAGTTATGCACAGAAGCGAAGGAGGAAGATCTGAAGAGTAGACTGGCAGCAGTTCCTATCGAAGTCTCGTGGGCCAAGAAGAGCATTCGCAAAGCCCGCCGGGGTTTCCAACTATAATAACGAGATTACTTCACTCCGTCGTCCTGACGAAACAGTGCATTTCAAAGGGAGCGGAGAAGGTCATCTATGACTTCTATTTGGATCTCCTCGACAGCCACATGTAGCTGCTTAGCTAAGATCCTAGCCAACACGGATATGTCGTTTTTTCAGTTCTTCCTTGCCAAATTCGATATGACATCACGTCGATGAGATCTTATGGCTCTGGTCTCGAAGGGATCAAACAGAACATCTAAAGAGCCTTCTACCGCCTATCTTCAAAACTCTGACCAGGCTCTCCACGCGGTATTTGTCGGCATGCGAAGTGTCCACGTCGTGAAAAACTAGAAAGACTGTGTTGCTGTATGACGAGGAAGGTCCGAACGATACTGGCGACCATCGCCCAATTTGCCTCCTGTCTGGAGCTAATGAGCTTTTCCCACGGGTCATCTTTAACATTATTGGCAGAATGCTAGATGAAGGGCAGCCACGCGATGGGGTAGGGTTTTGGAGAAGAGTTAGTATAAGCTGTGATTGACTAAAAACCTTTCCAAATATTGGAAACTGACAAAAATCGACTCATTTGATTGCCTCAACTGATTCATATTTTCAATGGGACATGTAAGGAGGAGTGTTGGGTGCATAGACTGTGGATGCAATTATCAACAACCTCCACATTAGGACTGAAAGATGAGACTGAACAAAACCCATCAGTTCTACATTGTACTGAGCGAGGTAGGGTACGTGGAACACTTTTCAACGAATTCTGAATACTTGATCCACACAGATCGATCAGTTCCTACAAGCACTAAAGTGTGCACTCCATATACATGTTATTACTTCTCGGATTGAACTTAGGTGCATCGCGCAATCTGAAACGAAGCATTTCCAACACTTCAGAGTATCTGCGTATAGAGCTTGACGAGGTGAGTTACACGATATTTTCAGCTCCTAAAATACTCCACTCTGAACCGTTTATAGAGGAATCTTAGAAAAAACGCGTGATTTTCCGAGTTCTTGGCGAGTACCGTACCCAGAACGAGAACTGAAATCAAAGAGGTGATTTCACGAAATTGCAGTCGGTTAACCAGATCGATGTTCACCTTTGACCTTTTGTTTGAGACGGTGAAGCGATTAAAGGAGGTGTGCACAGAACCACTTATTGTTAGAAGGGGCTTCGACCCAAATGCCGCATACGAGCTTGCAACGGATTTGAACTCAAAGGACTACTATTGGATTATGAGGGATTGTCCGGCCATTATAGCGTCAACTCGGTGAGGAAAAGGGAAACAGGAACACTTCCGGACAATCTTGCGAGAATTCTGGACTGAGTTTTCTGCAGGTACTCACCGCCCAGCTTAAAATGTTACAAAGTACGCTAAGTGGCAACGGCAACTCTGGCAACACATTTGGTGTCTTCCTCTTCCTACTAGCTTTGATCGCAGGTTCCCCTGACCTGTTAGCCAGTTGAGTTGTTTCTTAGTTCGTGTCATTGTTGAAATTGTGCAGGAATTCCGCTTATTGTATATCCGGAAACACTTTTACTATACTTCAGTCAGATCCTTACACCCATGTTATTTTTTTATACAAACCAAGAGAACATCGATCCAAGATATTTGAAAGAAAAAAAGAAAATCATAAACATGCACATAGCGATGATGCAAGGCATGAGTCACGACTGAAGTATCTCGCAACACTTGAAACTGCGCTGTAAGCATTGCCATTGTAAATTCTATGATGCGTTAGCTCGTAGAGCTGCCCCACCCATTATCGATTAGGTCGGCACCTGCTTTTGCATTCGGAGCACATTTTGCTCCAGCGTTGGCCTCGGCGAAATCTTATTCGCTGTTTATCCTTTTGTTTACTTTTGCGTCATCTTTACTCGGCATTACGGCTTTTGAAAACTCCTCTATTATTTTACTAATTCAGTTTAGTGCACTTCGTCTATTTCGAAGCTTCATTGTTTTCTTCCGCTTTTTGTGCTGCAAAGCATTAATTGAACCGACTTTTTTTCTTCTTTTTTGTTTTATTTTTATCTTGTTTTTTCCTTTTCGAAATCCAACTTTGACATGACGTTCGTCGATGATATTTGATCATCCTTTTAGCTTCCATGGAACAGCCGTCATTTTTTATTTCCCGCCGCCGCTCAAAACAGCAGGCGCACTGCACGCACGCTGCCTGTGAAACAATGCTCGACTTATTAAACTTGATGATTTGAAGCTGGATTGACAACTAACTCATCATTCTGTATCTCTTATCTTATACTTGTTGCTGGCAGTTCATCACTGGAAAGACCTATCGCTGAACGTAGTATCTCTGCAAGACTTACACCCTAGCTTTTGATGAACGTGTTTCCCATTCGGTAAGACTTCACCGAAAGGGTTAGGAGATGGCCCCAATGCGAACTATTTGTTGGTTTAACGTCTTGAGTTAGTCCCGATTGGGATTGTGAGGAGAAGACGATTATAGTTGTCTTCAAAGAAAGGAACGACCTCGGACAGGAACAAAGATCGTTCATTTGATAGAAGACCTGCGGATATCCCTTTTCCGGAAGAGTTTGAATACTCTCCTATTATGCAATTTTCATTTTCATTCATGTTTCTCGTTTTCCATCTCAGATTGCTGAGCTATGGACAAAACAACTTGTTACTTGACTGCATTTGACATTTTTTTGGCTTCTGGTCACAAAATTGCCGTTGACGTGGGTTTCAAGAAACATGTAAACAATTTTGGAAGTGTAACGGAAAGCTTGACGCTCAGGCGGAAAGATCCGCGGGTTCAAGCAATGTGCGATCGTTCTGGTCATATCTCAGTAACTTTGCCGTGAAGGAGTAACCTTTTCAGTAGTAATCAGAAGTTGGGCGATTTGATGCCTTTGGAAACAGAGTATTAGCATTTTTGTTGCCGGTCTTCAAAATCTCAGCAAAATTGTTTCGATAAGTCGTCAACACACAATTTGTTTTCATAATTGCAAGGTTCTCCTGGGGGGCGTTCGATTCGAGCGATACTGGGTGCGCGCGGCAAACTGCGCGGCGAAATTTGGTACGATTTGGACGATTGAAGTCTATCATTGGGGCGCAAGCTTTAAGTAGATTAGATTATGGCCAGCTGATCCTACTAATCTACTCTACATCAAAAATGGTCCCCAATAATATGCGCTAAAATCGTCGGAATAGCTATGAACTTCGCCGCGCACACCCAGAACCGCACGAATCGACACAAACCCGGTTCTCCTATTTATAGTGTCATGTACGCCTCGTAATTGGGGCTAAATAAGGAAAAATATGCTTAGAAACTCTTCTACTTCAACTTCTCATGTGCTATTAATATCCAACTGTAATGAGTGTGCATAAGATTTGTTCAAAAGATCCTGCGCATTTTTCATGAGCTACATTTTATAATATAAATTTTATCAGCAGAAGGTAAACCTGGTATATTTAATGAAAATTGTGAATCCAAATAGAACGATGTCAATGTCATTTGAAGTCGATTTTGCCATTTAATTAGGTTTTGTCGAACAACTTCGTGATCCGTCCACTGAGACGCTGTACAATAATTGTATCCAGGTTCCACAAGCTGGATTTTACCTGTTAATCACATATCGTGCTCAATCGGGACACAGTCCATCGCGTACATCATACCTATAACTACTACACCTGCTGTACCTTCGGGGACTTTGCTGACTTGTACTTGTCATGGAATCGTTGCTTTTTTCGCGACCAGCTTGCTCGCGTCGCGCGGTGGGAGCTAGCATCGTTAGACGAAAAGGAATGTTGATCGGTAAGGGCCAATGGGGAGCTATTTTGAACCCTGAATTCCGTTCCCTAGCACAACAGCACCGTTCTCTCGAACATCTTACCACTGGTAGTGTGTTTCATGCGTGAACAAGTGGTTCTGTAATTTGAGGTGTGACAACCTGGAAACGTGCAGTTGTTTCAAGATGGGTGATCTCACTGCAATTCAGCCTTTTTTTTACCAATTAACTACAGTTAGCTCTGACATAATATTGAAAAACGTTTCTGATTAGTTGTCGCTTCAAATAGTGCTGATAAGTGGGAACAATATGAGTTACAGAAGGAAGAGTATCTCTTCTAGTAAAATTGCTACTCATTGGCAATCTTCGCTGTATTCCTACTGGAGGCACGGATCGCGATAAAAATGGTTACTGACTTCTTCCTTAGAAATACTCAGCTGCCCCTCATGGGTAGTAGAAGGGACCCTCTCGCTCATGAAACCTCGTCGGTCAGGGCATACTCGAAGCCCTGTAGCTGCTTTAGCCTTGAGCGGCTTTCCCGCCTCCCGATCGAGGTCACGTCAGACGAGTGTCGAGGCAATACAGATGCGATTAATCGTTCTAGGACCCACACACAATCAGCTGATCGCCGAGTGATGAGCGACGTTTTTTTTCGCATTCTTTTTTCCTGTTATTCTTTTTGCTTCCGCGATCCCTTTTTTAATTTCCTACCCCAAGAGGTGAGCTATTTCTGCTGTGACTGGGGTTCTTTTTGTTTACTTAT